CTTTCGTCCTCTTTCGCCCTCTTTCACCCAATTTCGTACTCTTTCACTCTCTTTCGTCCTCTCTCACCCTCTTTCATTCTGTCTGACCCTCTTTTATTCTGTCTCACCCTTTTTCATTCCCTCTCACCTTCTTTCGCCCTCTTTCACTCTCTTTCGTCCTATCTCACCCTCTTTCGTCCTCTCTCACTCTCTCTCACCTCTTTCACCCTCGTACGTCCTTTCTTACCCTCTTTCGTTCTCTTTCACCCTCTTTCGCATATCTCGTTCTCTCTTACCCTCATTCGTCCTCTCTTACCCTATCTCCAAAAAATCATAAAAATGAAAAGGTCAAGCCATGTTCAAAAGAAGGTCCTCAAACATTTAAACCTAGTCTGTACAATGAAAAAAAATTACTCGTAATTTTATATCGCAATATAATCTATTTATCGCAATAATTCCAGAGTTCCAATTTGTTAATGTCGAATAATGTATTTGTTTCAAGTAATGGCAGTAGAGTCAAATACATACCTACGTATATGCAGTTTTTGCTGTTAAATGTACTTGAACGAAAAAAATAATTAAATGATTTAAATATAGCACATTTTAAATAAAGAAATTTATACTATAATCGAACTCTGTTTAGAAAGAATGTTTGTTTCAATCACAATCACAACACCATTTTCTATTATTTCTATTATTATTATCAATCATGTTATTCACCAAATAATTATAGTATCAATAATGTTTTGCGGTTTATTTAACAATTCATAATATGTTAGGGTTATAAAGTTCTATCTATAGGGTTTTTATTTAAATAAAATGAAGAATGTATATATATGTATATTTATTTATGTATATTGTATATATATATGTATATATTTATTATATACACGTTATTGCCGTCCCCGTTCTCGGCCTGTTGCCCCAATAATAGTGAGGCGAGGACAGTTTTAGGAGGAAGCGCATAAAGCGCTCCTCCTGGACGCGAACCCCGGCGCGTCTTCCTCTGTAAACTGTAATTAAAAAACAAATTATATTAGTAATTAGATAACGTTAGAAGAATGTTAAGTTTACACCAATAAATATACAAATAAATTGAATATTTAAATAATAATTATTTAAGGAAAATCCAGTTATTAGAGGAAATCAATGAATAAATCTAGCAATAATTGCAAATACTGCTCCTATAGATAAAACGTAATGAAAATGGGCTACAACATAATATGTATCATGAAGAATAATATCAATTGATGAATTAGATAATATTACTCCAGTTAAACCTCCTATTGTAAATAAAAAAATAAATCTTATAGCCCATCAAAGAGAGGAATTATTATCAATTTTAGTTCAATGATGTTTAGTAATTTAACTAAAAATTTTAATTCCAGTGGGAATAGCAATAATTATAGTGGCCGAGTAAAATAAGATCGTGTATTGACATCTAATCCAATAGTAAATATATGATGAGCTCATACAACAAATCCTAAAAATCCAATAGCTATTAAGGCATAAATTATTTCTAAATAAAGATCCAAAAGTTTCTTTTTTTCCTCTTTCATTAATATTCTGTAAAAACTTTATTATAATCATTACATACAGTATAATAACAAAATTGCGATATTTTTTTTATTTAATGTGACATCGCAATTTTGTTATTATAATTATATAATAGTTATAATAAGGTTTTTACAGAATATATACATTGATATCAACAAAATAATATTAATGTTACATATTTAACATAACGTTACAATTATGTCATTAAAATTACGTAGTATTTACGAAACTTTTAGAGTACACATTTATATTAACCAAAATACATAAATGTTACATAACAAAGTAACACCAAAATTGCATAACAAATTCATTACGTTATTGACATAAATGATACGTCATTGTTTTGTTTCGCCGATCTATAACATATACATATATAGATTATTATGTAATTGTTTCGTAAATGATCCCTTCGTGTCTACTGGGTATCAGAGATGGCAAAATATCAATTAAATTTTTTATAATTGAACAAATGATATGAACAGATTTAATTAAAATATTTTTAATTGACGATTAATTTTAAAAAGATTAATTAGATTTCGTTACAATGACGATTGATATAAGCTAGATTAATCGAATATCGTTTAATTAACAATTAATATGATCGAAGTCAATTAAAGATTATTTAATTGACAATTGATATAAACGAAATTAATCGGAGAACGATCGATTAAAAATTAATACAAGCTAATTTAATTAAAAGTTTTTTAATTAACGATTAATATGAGTTAATTTTAATTAGAAGTACTTTAATTGACGATTGAAAAAAACAGATTCAATCGAAGACAATTCAATTGACAATTGATTTGAGCAGAAACAATTAAAAAAAATTTAATTGACGATTAAATATAGCAAATTTAATGCGAATCTCTTCCATTAATGATTGACTTAAGAAAATCGATATAATTTCTCTATTTCCATTAATTAACAATGTGTAACGATTAATACAATTTAAATTTTAATCGAAGATGTTTGATTGATGATATTAAAATGACTGAATTTAAATAATATATATCTTTTCCTTGGTTCTAGCAAAGTTATTGTACGTAAAAGTTACAATATAAATAATAAATAATTTACGTTTTTTAAACCATATTTTTATTCAGAACATTTTCAATTCATTATACATTTTATTATATTTAATTTAATTATATTTAATGTTAATATATATTTCTCGAATTTTTTTTCATTTGTTCTAAAATAATAAATGTATAATATGTTATAATAAAATGTGTTGTACATATATACAATATATATTATAATTCAAAATTAATAATCAAATGTAAATATTGCAGGAAGTTTGGTAATATAACGAAGTGTAACCATACAGTTTCCTTCTGGAGAACATTTCTGCATTCAACTAGGTAACCATTTCACAATGTTTTTATATATTACATTCAAATTGTGTTTATTTATTATAAATAAATTATTAGATATTATAATTTAAAATTATTAATCAAATGTAAATATTGCAGGAAGTTTGGTAATAGAACGAAGTGTAACCATACAGTTTCCTTCTGGAGAACATTTCTGCATTCAACTAAATAACCATTTCACAATGTTTTTACATATTACATTCAAATTGTGTTTATTTATTATAAATAAATTATTAGAGAGAAATATTGAAAAATATTGAATGTATATATTTTGTTATTATGTATTTATTTATATATTTATATTTTTTTATATTGAAAAAATTCATTTTTCTTTTTCCTTTTTTTAAATAAATAAATTTTATTAAATATTTGTTTGCCAATTAAACAAAAATGTAATCGTACACCAGCAATTACTTTTCAAAATATTATTTTTTTTGTGTGTGAATAGTTTCATATAATATCTGGATTGCAAATATATTGGTAATAATAATAGTTTTGTTGCATATCTATTATGCATATAATTTGGAAATAATATAATTTAATAATTAAAAATTGCAAACAGAATAATATATTCACATATTTATATTTATTATATTATATCTGCACATATTCATATTGATGAGATAATTGTTTATTATATAAAATCATGTGCGTGATAATTAAATATTTTCTATGCAATCAAATTAATAAGGAATATAATGATTTAACATGATTATATTCTAAATCTGTTGGTGAAAACGTTACGTGTAACAAATATATACAATTAAAGTTATTAAAATTTTATTATTTTTGTAAAATATCATTTACTTTGTAGAATACTTGAAGATATTACAATTCTATTTTTTAATAATAAATTAATTAAATTTAATAAAGAAAATAAAACATTTTATCGTGTTCTGATATTGGTGGACTTATTAACCATAGCGTGTAATTAAATATTATAGGTCTACGCTTATTGTGATAAAGCTCTTTGATTGTTAATTGACTGAAAATATGTAATATGCAATAATGACATTAGCAATGCTAAGTTTTTAAATTAATTTTTTTTGTCGCAAGACTTTAATGTTTATATTTTTGTTATCGCAAGTTTTTAATGTCATTTTATATTTTAAATACATTATTTTTCAGATATGTTTTAAGATTCTGTAAGATTTTGGAGATATAGTTTTTGACGCGGACTTAACATCTTTTTTTAGCTTTTTTAAAATGAAATTTTTTATACATATGGTATACAAAACATTTATGAGTTTTTTATAAAAAATTCCGAAGAAAACCAAAAAAAGCTTGTTACATAAGATTCACTCAAAAACGATTTTTAATAATTATGAAGTGATAAAGTCAAATTGTATTTGCAATATGACAAGTAATGAACAAACTATCAATACTGTTTAAAAACGCCCTAGTGCAAGTCGAATTTAGGCAAAATTACCGCGGATTATCTTTGCCAATCGCGACACCGCGCGTATACAGTCCAAAGCGCCTATAGCAAGCGCTAATATGAGAACTGTAAACAACAACATTCTCTCTACGAAAAATAATACGCTCATGTCCTTCGAGACAATTCTAAAATAATAACATGTAATTCTGTGAAGGCATCTAGAATCTTCTCGAAAAACGTTGCTATAAAAGGGCACTCCAGATCGACCGGGATATAGTCGCTCTCGGAATTAGACGCATATCTGTCGCAAGTAGCACGTACGATTTCGGCGCGGTTCTGACTTTACGTAGCTCGCGTATAGCCAGCAACTAACGCATCGCCTTCCCCGTAGCTCGCGGATTCACGTATTAAACTACGGTTTATTTAACCAGTGTAAATAGCCTGTAAATAGTGTCCGTCTTAAATATACATTGTATGCGTCAAAAAATCGACTCTCTAATTAATCGCTTTTGCGAAAACGTCCTTTTCCTTGTCGCGCACTTCTCTCTTGACACTTATCGCTCGCGTTTTTGCTCTGCTATCGAACATTTTTGGTCCTTCGAGCCGGATCCTTAGCCGGTCACCGCGACGTGAGTGAGTGGATTGAGTAACTGTGTGTGATTCTGTGCTATCCGGAGAGACAAGTGAGCCGCAGCTAGTGACCTGAAAGGAAAATGGAAGCGTTAATTCTTTCGCAGCATGAGTTGTCGCAACGGGTTGCTCGCACGTACGACAACCTGAAAAAGTCCGGTATCACAAAGATAAATAAAGGGCTTGTAGCTACCACGCTCAAGCTTCTCGGCGAGAAATGGGCTAAAATTCAGGATCAGCACAGTCTGCTGAGGATGGAATATTGGAGCGAGGTCAAGAAAAACGATTACATCGTTAAGGATTTTATGGGTCAGGTCGAGGACATATACACTGTTCAGCGCGCCAGTATCCTCGCCAGCATCTCCAAGTTTACGGCCTTGACTAAGCTAGAGGAAGCGCTGTCGAAGAAGACCCTGTCCGCGGTGTCCGCCGAGGGCGAGTTTTGGACGGCTCCTCGCACCACGCTACCGCGCATCCAGCTCCCTCAGTTTTCGGGTCGGTATAAAGAGTGGCCCTCGTTTCGCGACTTATTCCATTCCATCATCGGGAAGGACGCCTCCGTAACTCCTGTGGAAAAATTGCACTATCTTAAGTCCTGTTTAAAAGGAGAAACTGAGATGTTAGTGCGAAGTTTGCCGACGACGGACGAGAATTTTGATCGTGCCTGGAAAACGCTCACGGATTATTACGAGAATCGACGACTTCTTGTGCGCTCGTACATCTCCAAGTTTACGGCCTTGACTAAATTAAAGGGCGAGTCAGCTAACGACTTACGCAAATTATATCACGGAGTAAAAAACACCGTCGGTTCACTCGAAAGTATCGGCCGACCGATCACTACCGGTGAGGATCTGTTCGTGTACCTCGTCGTTGAACTGCTCGATTCACGATCGCGGCGCGAATGGGAAAGTTCGATATGCGAAACGACGGAGCCACCGCCATACGCTAAGCTGGAGCAGTTTTGGGAAAGACGACTGCACACCCTTGAGTCTCTCCAGCCATTGAAAACGGAAGTCAGTTCGTCGAAGACGAGCACCAGTGATGCTCGCCAAACACGCTCATTGCACGTGCGCAAGCAAGAGAGCAAACGCGGCCGCTGCTCGTTGTGCCGTAAAGATCACTACATCATGCTGTGTGACGTCTACCGTGGACAACCGGCTAACGAACGGAAGCAGCATATAGTCGAGAATGATATGTGCTTGAACTGTCTCGGAAAGCACAAAGTAAGTGAGTGTTCGTCGCAGAAAACTTGTTCGGTGTGCCGCGAACGTCATCACACGTCACTTCATGATGCGTGCAAACCAAGTGTCGTAGCCACTACATCGCATCTTGCGTATCAGCCGTCCAAGGCTCCCGTAGCCGCGATACTTGCCACCGCTCGCGTTCGTGTCGCTGACCGTCACGGAGTCATGCATACGGCTCGCGCTCTAATTGATCAGGGCTCGGAGTCGTCCCTGGTAGCGGAATCTCTCGCGCAGCGTCTTCGACTCCCGCGCTCGTCTGCCTCCGTTGCGATCTACGGCATAGGTGATAAACAAACTAGCCTTTCTCGCGGGCAAATCACCCTTAAACTCACCTCACTGAAAGGAGATTCAGCTATGACCGTCAACGCCCTGGTACTTTCTCGTCTCACGTCGTACGACGACGCGGCTCGGGCTGATTGGAAAGGCTGGCCTCATATACGTGATCTGGAACTAGCTGATCCGAACTTTCTTGACTCGGATCCGATTGAGATTCTGCTAGGTGTCGGCATCCATACGGTTATTCTTCAGGAGGGAATTCGTAAGGGCGGACCTCAAGAACCTATGGCACAGCAGACGTCACTAGGCTGGATTCTGTCAGGGGTAACTGGCACCACAGTTGATAGAAACAGAGCTACAACTTACCTGTGCTATCTCGAGGATGACTTACCCACTCTTGTTGGTCGATTCTGGCACCAGGAGGAGTTGCCTTCCGCGACAAGCTCCCTTGCTCCGGAGGAACTCGAATGCGAGGAGTTCTTCAAAAGGACTCACACTCGAACGGCCGAGGGAAGATACATCGTGCGTCTCCCCGTGATCCCTCCTCTGCCTGACTTCTCTCCGACGCGGCGCGCTGCATTACACGCCTTGACAGGGATGGAACGGCGCTTCTCACGAAACACTCGTCTGAAAGACCTATACAAAGAATTTATGGGAACGTATGAAGAGCTTGGCCATATGACTCTACTGGATGGACCAGCAGGTGGGGGGGAACGAGTGAGTTACCTTCCTCATCACGGCGTGATGCGAGAATCCAGCTCAACAACGAAGTTGCAAGTCGTGTTCAATGGCTCTACAACGACTCCAGCGGGCGAGTCGCTAAATCGGCATCTCATGGTGGGACCCAATCTACTGCCGCCCCTCGCGGACATCTTATTACGCTGGCGGCGACACGCGTACGTTCTCGCATCAGATGTCGAAAAAATGTACAGGCAGATCCTGGTCCATCCGGACGACCGCGATCTGCAAAGAATACTATGACGATCTAACGACCAAGAGATTCACCGGGAGTACAGACTGAACACGGTTACTTACGGTCTATCCTGTGCACCGTTCCTGGCCATGCGTACTCTTCGCCAGCTGGCAGATGACGAGGAAGAGCGCTTTCCTCGGGGAGCGGTCGGGCTGCGAAGGGACGTGTACATGGACGACGTCCTCACCGGAGCTGACACCTTGAACGAAGCAAAGAAATTGCAACGGCAGCTGGCCGAGCTGTGCATGGCGGGCGGGTTCCCGTTGCGTAAGTGGGCCTCTAATGATGAAGAATTACTCGTCAACGTCCCCGTGGAGCATCGGATGCAACGCGAACCTCGTGCATGGCGACCTCAGGAAACACACCCTACTCTAGGATTGCAGTGGCACCCAGGCACGGACAGCTTCTCGTTCGCTACGCGGACAGTGGCTGTGGAAGTCTTCACAAAGCGATCGGTACTGTCGCTCACAACGCGGCTGTTCGATCCGCTCGGCTGGTTGGCTCCTATGGTAGTCCGAGCCAAGATTGCCTTTCAGTCAACCTGGCTCAAAGGAGTCGACTGGGACTCTCTTCTCGACGAAGCGTCAGCCAAGCAATGGCGGGAATATCAAGCGGAGCTTCCGCAACTCGAGCGAATTCGAATTCCTCGGCGACTGACGCGGGATGTCTCTTGGAGCGATGTGGAGATTCATGGGTTCGCGGATGCCTCCGAACGCGCATACGCTGCTGTCCTGTACCTGCGAACAAGGACAAATAGTGAATGGCAGTCGATCCTCATTGCTGCCAAAACTAAGGTTGCGCCAATAAAGCCCATAACCTTACCTCGGTTTGAGCTCTGCGTCGCTACCTTGCTGGCTTGATTTGCCGCACATATCTGGTCGACTCTGGATTTGGACAGATCTCTTCTACATCTCTGGTCGGATTCGACGGTCGCTCTGGGGTGGATTCGTGGACATCCGACGCGCTGGAAGACATACGTAGCCAATCGGGTAGCCGAAATCCAGACGACGGTCCCAGACGCGTTGTGGCTGCACGTCCCAGGCAAGGACAACCCAGCAGACTGCGCATCTCGCGGGCTTTTACCGAGCGCCCTAGTAAACCACGCTCTCTGGTAGCAAGGCCCACCGTGGCTTCAAACGGAGCGCTCTTCATGGCCATCCACATCTGAGATCATCTGCGATGAGAATCTACCAGAGGAGAAAGCAAAGGTCAATGCGGTGAGAGTCGGGCCGTTTCGAGTGGAGAAAGCCGAAGAACTGTTACGGTTCTCGTCACTCCATCGACTGTTACGCGTATCGGCATGGTGCTTACGGTGGCTACGTCACAGAGGCGTTCCGGATCCTACTGCTTCAAAGTCCAATCCCAGCCTCTACGAAGATGCCCTGTCAGTAGAAGAAATAGAGGCCGCTCGCACAGTGTGGATCCGCCTGACGCAGGCTGCAAATTACAAAGGGGAGTTAGAAACAATAAAGCAAGGCCGCGCCCTATCTAAATCTAATCCACTTACCCGTTTGAGTCTTTTTTTTGATTCGCAGGGCATTCTCCGGGTGGGCGGACAATTGAAGCACTCTATCCTCAGCTACGACGAGCGGCATCCAATCATCCTGCCGGGGGGCTCGCATTTCACTCAGCTCATCGTCACGGCTTGTCACCGACGAGTTCTTTACGGGGGAGTCCAGGCGACCTTAGCGTTAACCCGGCAGAATTACTGGATTCCTCGAGGACGAGCTGTAGTCAAACAGCTTATCTTCCGATGTGTGACGTGCGTGCGATGGCGGGCGGCGATTCCACAACAATTGATGGGCAGTCTTCCGCGAGATCGAGTCACTCCGTCCCGGCCGTTTCTGCACACCGGAGTCGACTACGCCGGCCCGATTCACTTGAGGACAACGAAAGGGCGAGGACATCGAGCGTACAAGGCGTTCATCGCGGCCTTCATTTGCCTCGCCACGCGAGCGGTCCATTTGGAAGTCGTCTCTGACTACACCGCCGAGGCGTTCATAGCTGCTTTGCGGCGATTTACCGCTAGAAGAGGCATCTGCCGCACGATTCGGAGCGATTGCGGCACGAACTTTGTTGGAGCCGACGCTCAGTTTCAAGCTCTCTTTGCGGCCAGCAGCAACGAAGGCCGTCAAATAGTCAGTCGTCTTGCCGGCGAGGGCATCCAGTGGCTGTTTAACCCGCCGGCCGCACCACATTTTGGAGGCATCTGGGAAGCAGCCGTCAAATCCCTCAAACATCATCTTCGCCGAGTCCTGGGAGAAGCTACGCTGACGTTTGAAGAAATGGCTACTCTCCTCGCACAGATCGAGGCGTGCCTCAACTCCCGACCGTTGCAGGCACTATCGGACGACCCAGAGGATCCAGCCGCACTCACGCCGGGGCATTTTCTGATCGGCTCCTCGCTAACCGCACTGCCGGAACCCTCACTTATGAATCAGCCAGCGAACCAGCCTCTCTCACCCTCTGTTGTCCTCTTTCACCCTCTTTCACCCTCTTTCGTCCTCTTTCACCATCTTTCGCCTCTTTCGTCCTCTTTCGTCCTTTTTCACCATCTGTCGCCTCTTTCACCCTCTTTCGTCCTCTCTCACCCTCTTTCATTCTCTCTCACTCTTTCATCCTCTTTCACTCTCTTTCGTCCTCTTTCACCCTCTTTCGCCCTCTTTCACCCTCTTTCGTCCTCTTTCACCCTCTTTCGTCCTCTTCTCCCTCTTTCGTCCTCTTCACCCTCTTTCGTCCTTTTTCACCATCTTTCGCCTCTTTCACCCTCTTTCGTCCTCTCTCACACCCTCTTTATTCTCTTTCACTCTTTCATCCTCTTTCACTCTCTTTCGTCCTCTTTCACCTCTTTCGCCCTCTTTCACCCTCTTTCGTCCTCTTTCGTCCTCTCACCCTCTTTCACCCTCTTTCGTCCTCTCTCACCCTCTTTCGTCCTCTTTCACCCTATTTCGCCCTCTTTCACACCCTCTTTCGTCCTCTTTCGTCCTCTTTCACCCTCTTTCGTCCTCTCTCACCCCTTTTTCGACCTCTTTCACCCTCTTTCGTCCTCTTTCACTCTCCTTTGTCTTCTCTCACTCTCTTTCATTTTTTTTCACCCTATTTCATTCTCTTTCACCCTCTTTCGTCCTCTTTCACTTCCTTCGTCCTCTCTCACCCTCTTTCATTCTGTCTCACCCTCTTTCATTCTGTCTCACCCTCTTTCATTCTGTCTCACCCTCTTTCATTCCCTCTCACCCTCTTTCGCCCTCTTTCACCCTCTTTCGTCCTCTTTCACCCTCTTTCGTCCTCTCTCACCCTTTTTCGACCTCTTTCACCCTCTTTCGTCCTCTTTCACTCTCCTTTGTCTTCTCTCACTCTCTTTCATTTTTTTTCACCCTATTTCATTCTCTTTCACCCTCTTTCGTCCTCTTTCACTCTCCTTCGTCCTCTCACCCTCTTTTATTCTCTTTCACCCTCTTTCGTCCTCTCTCACTCTCTCTCACCTCTTTCACCCTCGTACGTCCTTTCTCACCCTCTTTCGTCCTCTTTCACCCTTTTTCGTCCTCTTTCACCCTCTTTCGCCCTCTTTCGTCCTCTTTCACCCTCTTTCGTCCTCTCTCACCCTTTTTCATTCCCTCTCACCCTCTTTCACCCTGTTTCGTCGTCTTTCACCCTCTTTCATTCCCTCTCACCCTCTTTCGTCCTCTTTCACTTTCTTTCGTCCTCTCTAACCCTCTTTCATTCTTTCTCCCCCCTTTTAATTGCAATGAGTTTAAAAGTAACAATTTAATTTTAATATCATTAGAATATTATTTAGCAGCGCGCCCAGTTTTTTTAACTAAAATTTTATTCAGAAATAAATATTTTTATCGGCTCTCAATATAAATAATATAAGTATGCTGTCTTCTAAGCTGGGCAATAGAGCCAAGGAAACGAAACGAAAAATTAATTAAACGGAACTGTATCTCAATTTGAGATCCCAAAGTTCCACATATAAATATTTATTTCTGAGTTTATTCACGCCTTGGGCTAATCACGGCGGTATTTACTAACATCTACTAAAAAGGCAAATGAAAAATATAGGATCGAAAGGGTCTGAATAGCTTAGTTGGTAAGAGCAGTCGCCCGGAAAGTGAAAGACGCGGGTTCGATTCCCGCTTCAGCGACTTTTCGGACCTATATTTTTCTCGCTTATTTCTCCATATGTAAGTTTCGAAATTAATTTATATGTGGAACTTTGGGATCTCAAATTGAGATACAGTTCCGTTTAATTAATTTTTCGTTTCGTTTCCTTGGCTCTATTGCCCAGCTTAGAAGACAGCATACTTATATTAAAATTTTATTATTTCTTTTTATTTTATATTAATTTTAAATTTGCATAAGTTTTTAAATTTTAATTTTTGACTTGGCATCTTGCATTTTAGAGCAGATAAATTTTCCAATTTTTGCTGTATCAAATAATTTTACTTTTTTTTTTAACTTTATCGGTGTGTACACACAAAACATTTCTTTGAGTAACATAATTTTATATTATTTAATTTTCTTTCTAAAATATTTATAGCTGATTTCATAAAAATTTTAGATCAGCTTTGACATAGCTTATACATCTTTTTTCGGACAATGATTTATAAATCGCTTTTTTTATTTACTCTTATTAAAAGTACATTTATTTTAGTAGTAATAAGAAACTACAAATTAAGTAGAATATAAAAGTGGCCTCCTCTGATATTATTAATGAAGAATAATCATGTTTCTCTTGTTACATAACATGTCAAAATATCAAAATTGATAATTTATATATGCCTCCTTAAATGTGTAATAGAGCATATTATAACTTCTACATACATTTCTAAATATAAGAATTAATATTTCAATGAGAAAAACTGCTGGTCAAAAATAAACTCTTCAAGTTTTTTTGCTTTACTCTAAATATAAGAATTAATATTTCAATGAGAAAAACTGCTGGTCAAAAATAAACTCTTCAAGTTTTTTTGCATTACTTACAATAAATTGATATACATCTCGTTCA